TTTTAAAGCGCAGAGAACCAGGTCAGTACTGCGTGACAAAGTCTTGTGATTGTTGGTTGCTTAATTTACATAGTTYGGAAACGTTTTCGGAAAGCAATTTTATAAAAAGCATTGACTGGCTAGTACTGCACACTGGAATTTACGCGAATGTGACAAAATTTATAAGCTGCCATAACTCTTTCAATTCAAAGTCATTAGTTATTGTAAACATGCTATTTCGTTGTCAACAGATGGAAGAGGAGAGAAATTCCACAGGCTTTCTCGCCAACAGTAGTACAAGACGGATCACGTATTTACATCTACAAGTTTCTTCGGGATTTAAAATACTGTATATCAGCATAGCAGTTGTAATAGGTGTCTTTGGGCTGGTCGCTAACACATTTATTTTGGTCTTCAAGTACAACGATATGCTTCAAAGAGTGAACGTGCAGAGGACCACCCAATTTCGACGAACAGCTATAGCGTTTCTTATGGTCAATTTATCGACTGTTTCTGATATCATAACCGCCATCTTGGGTTCGTCAGCCTTTATCATCACTAACATTGTCGATATTTGTAGCGCTGATCTAATTTGTAAGACTATTCGAGGTCTTGGCATTTTTTTTTGTATTTATCAGCATCAACGGTTTGGTTTTAATAGCAACAGAACAGTATTTTGGAATTTTTTATCCCCTYAAGTTACCGTCCAATTCTTTTATCAAACGAGTGATATACTTTTGCTGGGTTGAAGCTCTTTTAGTYTCTATCCTCTTAGTGCACCAGTTCTTTCAAATCAACAAATATRCTCTGAACGATGAYCATTATATAATGGATTGTGGTGCGGACAAGAACACGTCAAAGAGCCTCTTGATGTTTTTCTTGTTTTTAACGTATATACTTCCCTTCTGCTACATGTCCTACACAGTTGCAGCTATTTCYATTGTCCTTYGTAAAAAGACCCCAATAGGTGTCACTGGACAACCAAGCATTCAACAACGAAAAAAGGTGATAAGAATKTTTAGGGATATCATTTTATGCTTTGTCACACCATTTACTTTATTAAATATCTACATAGTGGTAGTTARAGCAAATATCGTCACTGTTACTTCYGATGTTCAGGTTCATTTTTGGAATACTAGTATTTTGCTAGCAATATCAAACTGTGTCACAAATCCTCTGATTTACTTTACAAAGTCAGCAGAGCTCAGAAGAAAAACAAAAAAGACATTGCAGCAAACATGCTTTTGTCGCCACAAGATTAACACTATTGAACCTGTTCAAGCAATGAATACAATTCGTAAACCTTGGCTCAAGGACAACCTTGAGTAGAGACGCATGCAAGTAGCTTTCGCATARGCTACGCCAAAAAGCTCTTGCATTTTAACGCCTTCCGGTTTGTTGTGCATGGACTGTGCAGAAAACTTAAGAAAAGCTCCAGCCRGTTTTTGCCCTGCAAAAACCTCYYTTCGTCTTTTCGCCTCAAAAATCTCTGTTCGTCTTTTTACTTTTTTTTTTTTAACATTTTAGCTTCACTAGCTTTTGAACTGATCTGATGTAAAATCATCGTCACTGCGCACGCGAATAACAGACACGCCCGTGTGAATTACGCCAGTGTTTTCAAAAGCCTCTTATTTTGTCTGTCTGACTAAAACTACAKGCCTCCTTTTTCAAATTTCTTTACTCTGGAGAGAGTTAACTGTTCAAATATAAGCGTTTTTAATAGTTTTAGTGTGGAAGCAATGTCAAAACACATCGAAGAGTTTGCGTTTTCAAAAAAAAAAGCTCATTAGTGTGGACATTTTGGTTTACCTATGTAGCAGAAGATAAAACCTAACTTCTTTAATATGCTGCTTGAGAAAGCAATTATGTTTAGCACTTGAGCTTCTGATTTGGGCTACTGCTCTGCGAATATGCTGGCTCGCTCACCCAGTATGCAAGACCTGTGGACGTGTTATGGCAGATATTTGRAATCTCGACTTCAATAATCTGCCATAATAAACTCGAATGAATCCGATAAGTAAAAAACATTGTTTTACTTTGTACATGTTATTACTGTAAATATTAATATATTATTTAGTATTCTAGAATGATAACTGAGTGTAAATAATTATTTCAATTGCATAACCTGAAGTATGGCTAATAAAATTGTATGTAAACAATAAACATGCATGAATTTGCTGATTCACAAAATAATATATGGATGCTCCTAGTAATGGGCTCTTGATCAGGGAATTTGCTAACTCACAGACCCAGTATGGGAGAAGGATACTCCTAGTAATGGGCTCTTGATCAGKGAATTTGCTGACTCAYAGACCCAGTATGGGAGAAGGATACTCCTAGTAATGCGCCCTTGATCAGGGAATTTGCTGACTCATATACCCAGTATGGGAGAAGGAGGGGTCAGTTACGAAGGAAAGTTGTTTACAAAATAAATTACGAAGCCTAAATTACGAAAACATTTGGAAAGCACGATTTTTAACGAAATGGCACTTTGAGACAAAGTAGTATAAAAGAGTCCAAAAACTGATGAAAGGATATCCAAACATCAAAAGCTTTCCATGACAATTATTGTTTTATTGAAATACAAAGTTTTTCTTGGCTTGGGGGCTGTCAAAGTATGTCACCTTATGTCATCATCTTCGATTTGTATAAACGTTGGATGAATGTGGATGGTCTAGTAACTATGAGTCGCACATTAAAAATAACCTTGCACTACAAATGCAGATGGACTGTCGACGTTCGCTTGAATCCTTTCTACGCATAAATTTATTGCGCGCGCGCTCAACGTGTTGACCTCATATTTAAATGTTTTGGTAAGCAAAACATCATAAAAACTTTTTCAAACTCATACCTCTAAAACAAAGTCGGGGACCACTTTTTATTTTGTTTTTCGAAAATGCTTTTTTAATACCTAGCTTTAGAGGAAAAATCAAAAAATATCTGACGAAGGAATCAACTTGAATTTAAATAYACATATAGGAAATCATACGGTTTCGAGTGCAAATTGGAAAAAATTTGAACAAGTTGCCAAAAAGTTTTCAAAAAGTTCAAAATTGAACGAGCCGTAGCCGTAGTCGTAACGTGCTTTTTCTCTCGTATATCTATAAAAGAGACGYAGARCGGCTTAAAACGCARGCAAAATGGAGGTGAAGACATTTCAAAGCCAAAATRTGCAGACAAATTATATTAGATTGGRGTAGATGTTTTCAGAACGAAGGCCCTCCATATGAAGTACCGATTGATGATGTTGACTAATCTTCTAACTTTCATYGATTGTACAATGAGGTTGACTGCCGTGCTGATCAATACGTACGTCTAATCGCAAAAGCTAGTTATTTTATTGATGTCTTATAAAGTTCTTATCTGTTATAACCCCTGCCGTCTTCCAGCACATCGCTTCCGCCAACTTTAATGTTATCCTCTTCACAAGCTTTTAAACACTCAAGGCGTATTGTTGAGATCTTTACTTTATCTCTTGCAACTCAAATTGAAGAAGAGTTTCGTGCGTCACATGACAAGTTGAAGAGGCCCATGTGCTACAAAATCAACTGTTCATTCCGTATTCTGACTAATAACTCTAAATGTCAACTACTTTAATTAAACAACTACATCTTAAAACATGATAGAAAGCCTTTCCTTTCTTTACCCCATCGCCATGAATTCATATATAGATTAATAMAATTCGTTAAATTAATTTTCAAGGAAAATACGGCGAAAAATAAAACCATTCCTGGAAAGGAAAGGATGTCGAATTTTTTATATTGAACTGAATGAAATAGAAGAGGACTCATGGCAGACAATTCATTTGAGGCTTTTTGTAAATAAAAAAAWTTACGCTAATTTTTGAACTAAAAGTATTGCAGCGCAATGTTTTGTTTTTATTCATCTTATTTCGATTTTGCGACTGCCAAAGTTTAACTGAAAGTGTACGCTGCAACGGTGAAAATGTTTTCAACTAACGAATAATAATGGCAACAATAAAGACTGTAATTTTAATTAGATGTAGGACTTGCAATGTGGTTTGATCTATTGGCCCGGCAACGATGATGCGTATAAGGGATGAAAAAATGGGAATGGAAAGGAGATTTCAGCGACGGCACAATGTACTCTTTGCATCAGGTGGTTAGAAGGTTTAGAAAAAGTGTCCAAATTAAATAGAGACGTTATCAATGCCTTCAGACTTTTGAATCTTATTAAGGCTGATAAAGCCTTCAAACCAACTAAGAGACCCATAGACTTTACTCACACATGGGGGCCAGGTGCCAGGTATAGAAATAGAAACTGAAACCGCCAGAAGCGAGAAGCGAGATTCAAATGCACCAAATGCACGCTATCCGTTGATTATTAAAACCTGTGTAAGAACGAATTTACCATCTTATTGACAAATTGTAGTCGAAGTCCAACGGATTTGATTTAAAACAAAAACCTGGTTAAAATATATGATCGAGACTCCCTGTTGAATATTTTAAAATCTTTTATTATCTATCCAAAACAAAAACCTRGTTAAAATATATGATCGAGACTCCCTGTTGAAGATTTCTTAATCTTGTATTATCTATCCATTCCCTCCAAAACTACCCTTTTCCCCGCTTTTGCGACTTCCGTAGTTATCGTACGCATGCTCAAACCGCTGTAAAACTGTTCATGCAAAATGATAATTGACATTTAATCCGTTTTTTAAACAAATCTAACAAAATTCTAATTATCTTTATACAATTTCCTAGGCAAACAAGTTTGCTAATGAAGAGTGGTGAAACTGATAAGAAAGGAAATGTTTCCTTTTTAAACTTATTTAATTGACCTTGATTGTAAATAGTATTCCTATTCACGTCCTATTCATCGCCTCTTCATTCTCTTTACAAACAAGGTTTTCACACCACCCAGGATACAAGTGTACTTTCTAGAAGGCTAAATAAGTTTTTTGAGTTTTATTTTTTGACAACTCATAGTGTTCTACACATATTGCGTATCACTTATGTCAAACTCTAGTCATCTAAAAATATAATGCAAATTCGTTTTTTGTTTTCCTTGAGAACCACTTGTTTTATTTTTTCATTAACGCTTTTCCGGGACAGCTGCTTTATATGTGAATAATAATGTTATTCTAAAGATTGTATATTGCGTTTACCTCTCCTACATATGTTTCTACATTCTGTTTCAACATTAAAATTGGAATTGATACAATGTACATTGGTAACTTCGTTAAGTAAAGCCACCAGAAATAAAGAGTGATTTTGTTCTGATTTTAGGGTTAACTTCTGAAACTTTATATTCAATCTTTTTAGTAGCAGATAAGAAGGAACTTTGGTCTGAGAACCATTTGATACATTTAGACGATACAATATATACTGATAATCTTGCTCGCTTTTTCTGATATCTAGAGTATACAATATTTTATGTCAAGTACTCTATGCAACCAATACGATGAAAATTAATGTCGCCCGCTTCYTAAAATACGAACAGGTTTTATTGCTGCATTTCTGATGTATTGATGCATCGAGGGAATTCATTTATGGACCCATTTTTATTATTTTAAAAAAGCCTTGGCCAATAGTTCTATTTCTCTTCCCCGTTGGAGTTGAAAAGATCATCTGAGTAAACAGTACGAGGTTAACAATATGGTATCAGAAAATCCTAGAAAGAGTCATGAGTTTTGGCGATATATAGTAATGTATTTTGGCTGGTTTTAAAGTTAAATCTTTTCTGTGACTGTTCTACTCCTTAAGGAACCAAACATCTTTTTCACGCATCTTTGATAATTCTTGCAGAAAATAAAATGCACAACTGGGTTGCCTAAACTATTCATCCACCCTAAAAAGAAGGCTCCAAACCAAACCTTATCCATGTCACACGGTAACGACCAGTTCCATTTAAAGATGAATATCATATGTATAATATGAACTGGCGCCCAAGATAAGGCAAACACGGTTATTATTGTGATAGCCAAGTTGGTGACCTGTTTACTTTGATCTAGAGCACGTTTTGCCGATTGTCCTAAACAGACTCGCCTCCTTAGCCTCATCAGCAAGACTGAGTAGAGTACGATTGCTAGCAATAGAGGTAGCAAATACATTATTATCAAAGACGTGAGATAGTATTTCTTTTGCGCGATGTAATTGTTGAAAACAGGYTCCCAAAGATGAACACATACATAGGATCCCTCTGGTTTTGTCGGTAGTAAGCGAAATGTATAGAAGTAGGGAGAAGTATAAACCGTAGAAATGAGCCATGTTGCAATAACACCTAGCCTGCGATTACATTTGCTTGACTGGAAAGTCTTTAATGGCAGCATTACCGCACAGAACCTCTCTATGGCGATTGCGATGTGACTTTGTATGGAAACAAAGGTTGAAATGTCTTGCAGAAAATGAACCATCTTACAAAGGAAAGTGCCAAGGTGTCCTTTCACGATCCATGTGTGATTTGTGTAGATCATGGCGATTTCCTTGGGGATAACAAGTAATGGATAGATGAGGTCTGATATAGCCATGTTCATTATAAACACATTTGCAGGAGTTTTTAGTCTCTTGTCTTTGTAAATGACAAAAAGAATCAAAACATTGCAAACAAGCGACAAAATYGCTAAGACAACAAGCGCGCTAACTCTTGCTGCTTTGAAACTGCTCGTATAGTTTTCCTGGAGCGAACAAGTCGCGTTTTGATCAAGAATCATATTTTGGCCGACAAGCTATTGTATTCAGCTGATATCAACAAATCAGAAAAAACAATTTGCAGACTTTTACCGCCAAATTTAACGATCGACTTGCTTCCTTGTTACTTGTCTTCCAGAAGTTAATGTTACTAACCTTGATCGAAACGAATGGTCAAATATCTAATATATAGCTTCATTCAAAGTTAATTAAACTTAATTTCCTTTGACTCCAATTAATCATAAACCGTCATTTACGAGATTCAAAATCCAACGAAGAAGCCCACGAGATTCTGTCAAATTGCAATCCTTAGGTACTTGCTTTCTGCTTGTTCTTAAGAAGAACGCGTCTTGTTCAAGAAGAAAAGTAAATACTGACTCTGTAGGCGACAAGAGTAAAAGAARATGTCAACAGCAGTCAGGAAGTTAGTTTTTAATTGTTCACAGTTCACAGTTCTGAATCAGCGATAAGTTTGGCCAGCAGTATGTTGAGTCAGTCMTTTCATATTCTAAAGCCAATCAAAAGACTGACGCTTGAAATATATGAAAAGAAAGAATGAACATGCACCTGCCATGTAAAAGATCTGCTATCAGATTGGCTAATAATGATTCTGGTAATCATGAACTTTGCAATTTGAATATCAGACAGACATGTATTGGTTCCTTAGGTCTGTAGTTTAATGTTTACTGAATCCTCCCTCCCCAAATTAGCGGAAAGAGCTGCACGAATTTCGKTATATATTAAATTAGAAAGGAAGCCCTGGGGGTAGTCTATAACATTATGGTCAATGCATCCCTTCGGTTTAGCATTCGATGCAAACCGCTGTCTTTCAAGACCACGGACTCATTTTCAAGGGCCTAGTTCATAAGTTTATAAGTAAGTTATTCACAGACCGATGCCTTTAAAAGTCTGATGCCATTTAAAAACACTAACCGGTATTGGTATTGTTCAAGCTCTATATTCATTATATTACAGTTCATTTTAGCTAAACCTGTGCAGATRAGAATTTCAAAGACTTAAAAGTCATAAAATACAGCGGTATTTACAAAATGAGAAAAAAAGAACTAAGTCGTGCAATCCAACACGTTTCTTTGGCTTTGTGACACGATAGAATRTTGTCACTAAGTTTTTCGTTTTAAAGAATATATCAAACGACTAACAGCTTTAGTTTTTTTATTGCTGGAGGCTATTCATCAAGGTTGCYAACAATTTAGTGATACATATCTCCCGTGGAAGATAATGAACTCCTTTATGAATCATCCAGGTCTTATCTGCTCCGGAGTCCAGAGGCTTACCACCCTAAAAATTATAAGTAGTGACAYAGACATAGACACAGATAGTTCTCATTTCTTCAGTTGGTAGAGCGAGTCGAATTAAGAGCCAAACCTTCAAAGCCCCAAACAAGCGTTTTCAAGGCTTTTTCGCACAAACACACACACATAATCACTTCAAACCGTAATACATTATTAATCTTTATCAAAATATAAAACGTTTCCAAGACCGACTACTGAAGAGAGATTTTAGGAGCAATATTTGAACAATATCGATCAATATCGATTCAAAAAAGACGTGACCTCGTCCATGCTGATTTAGGATATCGTGTGATCGGGTTGAAAATAAGAAATTTGGGGTAGTTAGTTTCAGATAGCTATATCAAAATTGTTAGGGTCCTGTTTATTAGTGGCGCGTTTGTGTTCTGTAAGTCTGTTGTTTAAGGTCCTACCTGTTTGTCCGATGTAAGTGGAGTCGCAGTCAGTGCAATCTATTTTGTAAATAGCTCCTTGTCTATTAAGCTGTTTGTCTTTGTCTTTGATGTTAGTCAATAAACGTCGTAAAGTCATATCTGTGTTGTTCACAAACCTATTATGACTTTAGGACGTTTATTGACAAACAATAAAGAAAAAAAGTAGTACATAATAATCTTATCCTCGTGGTCATTGATATAAGTCAAGTTTCTTCGCTGTATAAATACAAATGTTTATCTTATCGAGAAATTCCAATATGGCGTCCATGTTAGCATTATTCAGGATATTTTCTTTGTCTCCAGTCTCATCTTCAGAGTAGTACAGCTGTCAACTTAGTACCTGGGAAAAAATAAAGAAAGAAAGAAAAGAAAAAAAACAGAATCCAAACTACAAAGAGCCGTGTAAGAAAAACTTCTTCACATTTGAAAACTGGAAACACACCACATGCGTTGCCTCGTTCAGTCATGGCAGATTCTTGTAGCTGAAGTTGATTGCAGCCCTGAACCGCTTGAATCGCTGTAATGATTGAAGTCTTTCCCATCCGATTGCCTTTTCAAACCTTTCAGTCAGTTTTATTTAAATCAGGGCCCCTGTGCCTATTGGGAACTCCGCTTTTAGGCATTGCCTAAATTTATATATTATAGTCTTTGTTGCATGAATACGTAGCTGACATAGCGTTATGCCTGTAAATATATATTTGTCAAATAAACTAATCCAAATATATATCAAACTTGTTGCAAAGTTACATGTGCTTATTAGGCTCCGTTTACATGTATCCGGATATTTTTGAAACCGCATACTTGAATGTGCGTTTACACGAAAACGCTCAACAATTTTAATTGTCCCTTAAGCAAAATGAATTTTCTATCTATGCTCCTTCAACCTGGATTCTATTTCTGGCCAGTCTTTCCAAGAGTTCAACGTTTGAGTTAGTCCTTCAAAAGAAAGACCTAACAATAGCTAAAAAACTTTCGTTAGGTTTCGTGAACCTTGACTCAACATTTTGCTGGCCCTGTCGCTTTTCCTCTTAACGCTTGGGATAGCATCTTTGGCAAACCTTACTTTGGCATAATCATATGTACTTAACAAATAAAACAGCTTTTTCGGTGCTCCGTTCAGAAACAGGTGGTGTGCGACACGGTGCACGTGACATTCATCGTCCAATCAGATTCCCTGATTTTTYCCCCGAATGTCGCGCAAAAAAAGAGCTACCGTCCGATAATTTTTAAGATTTACTAGCTTTAGAACATTCTTAACTGCTTCGATGGCTTTTTTCCCATAACTTTTGGGCTAATAAATACAAGAACCAAATCAAATTTTACCAATGGTCGACGATAAATGACAAAGTCGTGCAATGCGACTCCCCCTGACATAGATTTGGTCTCTCATGTTCTTGCTCCTCATTGGTTAAGAATCGGCCGATATATTACGTCAGCGGACAGATTACTGTCCGCGAATATTAATGAGATGCCGAGTTTTACAAGTYTCGCTCGCTTTTCATCTTGTTTCGGCCATTCCCTTCGGAAATTTGTCGGAACCCGAAGTACCGAAATTTGAATTCGACGACTCGCCAACGGAAAGAATAACGAGCGAGACTTGGAGCAAGTCTACCCCCAACCCCGACTTAATCCTCCGGGCATAAAAAAATAGATAATAATAATAAAATTAAAAAAACCCCGAAAATATGCAATGTAAATGTAACTACACGAAATGATTATGYAAGCATTTTTTATATCCTATAAGTATTTTTCCAATAATGACCTTTGCTTATTATTAGAAAATAGATATCAGTCATATTGATGYCAATAATAAATTAGTTCACTTATGCTTGTTGAAGTCGAATATAATTTCAGCTCCACTCGAATAACGAAGTTCATCATTAAATTGAAGTTATCTTATCCCACACTACCAGATGAGTCAACCACCAACACRATATCGACTGGATTGTTACATGCTAATAACAAATAATGATTAGTTAATAAAGGTTGATTTAAAACTGATTATAGCGATCTCTACAAAACAATGACGGTTCTAAGCACAGGTAACTCAAGCTGTACGTTATAAGTATAAAGGAATGTATGAGAATTCTCCATTGCAGTTAATGTTGAATAAACTTAAATATTAACTTACTGTGTGTCTTAAAGTAGTTCCTGGAAATGGCTGCAGCGAGTTTCAGGATATTTTCAGAATTCGTATTCAACATTCTCTCGTACTAAAGCTTGGGCTACCTGTGTTTYTTCACTGATAAATTTAAACGTATACACGTACTTTTGGATGAGTTTACGGCTTGTCATATGGCCGTTTTAGCTGAAACGTTCGAAAACGCTTTCCAGATACTTTTCAAATACTTTTGAAAACGCCGTTTACGTCTTCTCATGTGGACGGKGGTGCAAATGAATACTTGTGAAAACTTATTTAGCAACAAAAGTCTGAGAAAGCCAATTTGCGCACGACAAGTTTCTGTTAGCACAAACTGTTTCCATTTATATGTCAAAAAATGAAAGCAAAGGATGCTTACCAACACAGCATTCAATATCAGCGGGGCCATCACACAGGTTCTCGACACTTCTACCCTTACATCCTGAATGAGCAAGTTTACAAACTCCTTGACGTTCACCAGCCGTACATTCTGAGCCTTGTCCTTCACTTAGACAAGTAGCATTCAAAATCTGACGAAGAAAAAATATTTATCCTTGATTATATTATAGCTCTGCGTTTATGGACACACATTCATTGGCCCGGTGCGCAAGCTGCTAATTTGGACTGCGTTGTTGATAGAAAACAGGGAAATTTGATGCCTGTCAAATGGTGTCTTGTTGTACGATGGTTATCGAGGGAAAAAAGGGGTCTTGTAATCGGATATAGAAACCTTGCACCATCACGTACAGACACCCATGTATACAGCTTCGACTGCCTATGGTTAGATGGCAGACCAATTAAAATACCTTCGCTCTCGGGAATTTAATTCTTTCTTATGTAAAACGATTGTATATTTCCTACCATCTACAGTGGCTGCCGCCCCGTGGTGGTGCAAACCCGCTTTAGCATTTGAAATTAGCTCCTGCCATGTCAATGAAACCATCTACACAGCAGAGTCTATGTAAGAAATATTATCACTGTACTTTTATCATTCTTAACCAAGTAGGAATTTGTGCCTGAGCCACTGTTCTATTGCGGTACTGGTTTATAGCGTATGACATCATCACAAAATCATATTTGGAATTCCTGGAAAAATCTCTTAAAGGTCGATTGTTCTTTGAAGATGTGTTGGACGGTGACTATAGTAACCGCGTGCTGCCACAGCCAAGCTGCAATTTGAAAGGCTATAGACGACATCGCTGCTGATTCAGGGGCATCTGGTGAAAACATAACACAAGCATAGTTAGGATTTCCAATGCGATGTTTATTGTCAGCAAAAAAGCTACTAAACTGGAACTGTAGTTAAAAACACTTTTRATGCTTTCCAGTGAACCGCTGGGTTTCCGCTTCAGAATCAGGAGAAATTGTGAAGTTGTTAAGGGTTGTTGGTTGTTGGTGTTGTTGAAATCCATGGCCTGCGAGAAGATAAACATTAAAGTATTAATCGTAGTCGGCCTTTATCCCAAAAGGTATAACAAGAAAAAAAGTTAATATATGCTGCGGTTCGAAGATTATTAGCAAATCGTAGAATACGGAGKCTTAGAACACGGAAATTCCGAACGACAAAAGTTATCGAAAAATAAAGCTTACATTCTTTTAAACTTCAGAAGAACAAGAGATAGATTTGTTAATGCCAAAAAGTCTTTGTACGTAATTGAAAACAAATTAATTGAAAACAAATTAAAACAGGTCGTCTTGCTCGCAGCTGCAGATCTATACCATTTATTTTCATAGATATAAGCGAGAAAGACTAAGAATTTTTTTGTTTGAAAAGGAACTTCTTCTATTTTGGTTGGAATACGTAAATCTCCAAAATCMCATCCGCGCATTATACTATTTCGGGAAACTTTAGTTATAAAAAAAATTTCCAGGCATCGTCAGGTGAAACACACGATTTCTCAATATTTCGGTAGAACCGAGAAAAGAGGAATACATTTGAGGGAATTCCGTTGTTTTAGGAAAATTTCCGTTGGAAAAACCACTCCTTTATGTTAACCAATAAAGAATACCGGATTTTGTAGAAAATGGAAAAAGAAGAACTCAAATGAAGAAAAATTATGGAAGGAAAAAAGAACAAAAATGAGATTAAGGAGAGCCGGGAAGACAAACAAAATCAGGACTCAAACTACACTTTTGGTTTCTTGCTAAGTTGAACATGAAAATATCAAGAAGACCATGCCACATTAAGCCGAAAGGACAATAAGGACAACTAAATACTATGGCGGTTCAAAGTGGCAAAAACATTCATAAGGTTAATATCTATTAAATTACTTACTAAAAATTTCGGAACCAACAGATTTCGGTAGCTA